GCTGCTATACACACGACGACGTGTGGACGACTTGTGCACGACAGCACATGTCAAGCCGTCCATGCATACTATCCAGCGCATATCAGCGGCTGGATTACCCATCGTCCCACTGTCGTGCACACATCCATCGTCTATACAGCAGTTTCGCGTAAAATATTGCTAAATGGTTACCCGTAATGCTTGTGTCATTTGGACTTAACATAAAATCTAAGTTTGATGATCCACACGGTAGACTTTGTCTCTACATCAAGTCTACACGGTAGACTGTATTTCCTGTTATTGGTTGCTGCCTTGGATTGCAAATTGCTCACCTAATCGGAGATTATCTAGTGAGTCAGCAGTTTTGTTGTCAGCATCATTCACACTAATATTTTATAAGGCCCACAGGTGTCTTGACTAGAGATGCTAAAATATCTTTGCTGGATTTGTTGGCATGTAATGCATGTAATTTGCTGTTGGAACGAATTTTTCTGAATAAATTTGCACCGAGGGCAGATATCCTGCCATGTGGACTGGTTCAGGCTGCGCATATGGGTTTGTCAGGGCACTGGAAATGATCGCATCCTAATAAATTCAGTTTGTACCATGCGCATCAACCCATCAAAAAGCCCACCATGTGCTGTAGCTGTGGTATTCTAGGAGGTCATTAAAATTGATGGCATTGCATTGCTGCCATCCCTTGAGCATCATTTGAGTTCAGATCAGCATATGTGCTACTGCTTTCACAGTTACCAGTCTGTCCTTGTGTAACATTGCTCCCAAACCATGACATTTTATAAGCCGCAATGGTAGTGTGGCACATGCAAACTTTCATTTTGCTGTTTACTGTTTCCATACTTCAAAGTTCAAAGAAATCACTAACTTTACATACTGGATAAAATAGCCCTTGCCTACTGATTTGCAGTTTAAAGTCAGTTAACTTGTACTCTAGGTTTTCCCCCCTCTATTTCAACTCCGTAATTGCTAATATGTGCTGACAATGTTTTATGACGTGAATACACCAAAAATACATCAAGCTATTGCAGAACAGTTACTAATAATGCTTGTGTCACTTAGATGTTAACCTATGATCTAAGCCCATTGATCCACATGTTAGATTTTGTCTCTACATCAAGAGTTTACATGTAGTGTTTCTTTGTGAATAATTTCTTTTTTATGGTTGTAGGAAGGTTGAGGCTGGATTGAAGAAGTACAAGCCAGACATAATAATTAGTGTTCACCCCCTCATGCAACACATTCCTCTATGGGTACTCAAATGGCAAGGTCTGCAGAACAGAGTAGTCTTCGCCACTGTCATCACTGATCTTAACACTTGCCACCCTACATGGTATGTTCAGCTATAAATAAGGGGGGAACCTGGAAACTGTTTTTTCTTTCATGAAAATTAACTGCTTTCGACACACTTCAATCATAGACTTAAAATCTGGCAATGCAAAATATACAGGTTCCATGCTGATGTGAATAGGTGTTACTGCCCATCGGAGGAAGTAGCCAAGAGGGCAGAACTGGATGACCTAAAAAGTTCTCAGATCCGTGTGTTCGGTCTTCCCATTCGACCATCATTCTGCCGTGCTGTCCTTGTCAAGGTATTAACCTTAGGGCCGTTGTTACTTATTTATTGCCCAACTGGTTTCAGATTTTGTATCTGTTTTTCCAAAACATGTAGTAGTTAACTCGTAGTATTTTTCTTTGTCTTTTGTCTATTCATTAACTACCTAGCATTGTGTATAATTACTCTACAGAATTTTAAGCATTCTGGGCCGTCGCCCTATGATTCTACTATGTTTTCCAGAAACAAACAAATGTACAGCTGTACAGTGATGTGTCTTCATGCAAATGCTCGCTTTTGAACTAAAGCATGTTTTAAACCAATTATTCACCAGGATGATTTGCGGAAGGAACTTGAATTGGATCCTGACCTACCGGCAGTGTTGCTGATGGGAGGTGGAGAGGGCATGGGTCCTGTAAAGAAGACCGCGAAAGCCCTTGGAGATGCATTGTTTGACAAAGAGCTCGGAAAACCAATCGGGCAGCTTGTTGTCATTTGTGGTCGGAACAAAACACTGAGCTCCTCATTGCAGGCTCTTGAATGGAAAATGCCAATAAAGGTATAAACAAAATGTTACACTTTTCAGTTCTTTAAGACTTCAACTTGTTTCTTATGTAGCCCACATGAAGAGAATATGTTGTTAACTGCTTTTGTTTTGTTTAACAAAAGATTAGGGGATTCGAGACCCAAATGGAGAAATGGATGGGGGCTTGTGATTGCATTATAACAAAGGTTTATATATTACTGACCCTTCTCTATTGTTAGCGTGCTGGTTCCTTTGAAGGTCGTGTGGTACTCATAATTTTATTTTCCTGTTGTTTTGGTTCAATAGGCTGGACCAGGCACCATTGCTGAAGCCTTGATTAGGGGTCTTCCTATCATCCTTAATGACTTCATACCTGGACAGGTTTGTGTCCACTCACTTTCCACCTTATAAATGTTGATTTAAGCATTCAAAGTGTATGTATTTGCAACGGTGCAGTGAACCGAAATACCTGACAGCTACTGCTCCAAACAATCTTCTGATATGTAGTCCTTGAACCTTAACAAAATACATTTGTTTGGGTCAATATTTAGTACAAGTTGGCCATTGATGCAGTGCCATGCTTGTTTACGGTTATTGTCTTGCGAACTTCTTGCCAAGAATCAATCCTCATGAACTTCATTCTGATGAATAGATACTGGTTTTGTGCAGTAATAACTATGCATGTTTATGGTTATTCTTTTTCTTTTTGACTGGTTGAGGCTAGTACAGTATAATAAACAAAGTGGTCAGTTTGTTTATCTTTACGTGCAACTTACATCTTGCAAGAGTTGCGCCTCTCTTTGCTTAGCAGGCAGTCTACATCAAACAATACCATCTTAACAAAGTATTGTTTTCTTGCATCCCAGGAAGTTGGCAACGTCCCTTATGTCGTGGACAACGGCGCGGGCGTGTTCTCCAAGAGCCCTAAGGAAACGGCCGAACTTGTCGCCCGCTGGTTCGGTCCAGGCGCGGAGGAACGCAAGAGGATGTCGGAGAACGCGTTGAAATTGGCCCAGCCGGAAGCTGTGTTCGACATTGTCAGAGACATCCACGAGCTGTCCCAGGAGCAAGGGGTGAAGGCGCAGATCTCCAGCTCCCTGACGTCGTCCTTCTTCATACCATCTCCTGAAGCCAGCCATTGCCCCAGCCCCATCCCGCTCGTGTGAAGACCTTGGAAGATGTGTACATAGCTAGAGCACCGCAACACCTCTCTGCGCCTTTCATATCCTTGAAAAGAAAAGAAAAGGAAAGGAATGGAAAGGAAAAGGAAAACGTGGCACGCGATTTGGCCTGGCTTGTTTCATCTGTTGTCGTGGCCGGGGGATCTCGATGTTTTTCTGTTCATGGCCTCCCGCCGCAGTTCTTACGGGCTCGTTTGACCGACAGGTGCTCTTGTGTTGTGCGATATCGTGTTGGTGTAAAGTTTGTGAAAAATCATTGGTTGAACATCATTCTTTTGCCGTCCCCTCTTTTACATGCAGAAGGGGGGATCACTGGTTGGCTTGTTAGCTGCAGTCATTTTTGTGGATTGGAATTTTTTGTTTTGTTCATGTAAATTACGCTAGTTGCCACTGGGCCACTGTAAGAAGTGTACATTATGACAAAAGCGTGAGTGGAAGTGTTGATTGGGCTTGTTGAAGATAATGGGTTCGTGATGGTGTACATGCATGTTCCGTTGATTGGAAGTTGTCAGTCCACTGAACCAGCTGTTGTATGAGAAGTGTACTTTGCTGTCCTACCAGTCAGAATTGTTGGACTGGTTGGCATGCTTAGGAGGACTCATGTTGGATCTTGTCTATGGTAAAAGGTTTGAAAAACTATGCAGGAGTAGAAATAGTGCTGAAAAGGCTGCATCAGCTTTCCGTGATCTTGTTTATTATGGTAAAAGTGGTGCTTAAAAATACTATGTAGGAGTAGTTAGCAGAAGTAGTGCTTACTGTTAATGTTCAGTGGATCATGATCTGTGTTCGTTTCTTTCTTTTTTTTTACAATCAGTGGATCCTGATGTTGGTGCTGCTTCCGCCTTTTGGCATCGCTCGCAGGTGTGGAACGGAAGTGCGACGAGGGCCCGAGCCTTTGCCCCAAGCAGAATGATGGAAAAGGGTCTCCACCACTGGACAACTCGGGTCATCACAAGACAAAAGGCAATCGTCGTCGATGCATGATGCATCACGACGGAGGAAAAGAAACCAAGGAATTGGGCCTTTTCCCGCAGGTATCTGCCGCCGCTGCTGCACTGCTACCAACCAGCCGAGCACTGGAGCTTCAGATGTCTTTCCCTTTCACCCAGCGCACCTGTGGCGCGGAGGGACTCAGCTTGAGCTGCATCCCCAGCTCTTCTTGTGCATCCCCAGCTCTTCTGGAGACCGCCAGATCGGCCTCGCCACATGGTGGTAGCCAATACGTGCTGTATTTTTTATATTCAAGAAAATATGTAATTAATCGCACGTCGTGCTCGCAGGCTCCAGCGGCCGACCGCTCTCATGCCCACATGATCGCTCTATCTCTCGCTGTCACCGCCTCCACGTTTCTCATCTGAGTGCTGCTCTTTTCAATTCCTGCACATCTTTTTTACACGCTACCGCTACAAATAATAAGGTTGCAATCTTGGACTCTTTGTACATCATCCGTTGGATTGGTTTGGATTGTATTGGATTGGAGTCTTCTACTCTCAGCTCCTACCTATCTACTGGTCTTTTCTCAAAAAAAAAAAAAAAACTATCTACTGGTCTACTGCACAACTGGAGTTCGTTCTACTAGTTGTTGCTATGCTATTCACAGAAAGAAAGACTGATGAAAAGTGACCAAAGAAGAAGCGAAGAGGGCCACACCAACCAACCGGTCAACCGGCTTACGTGCGCGACTGCCGGGTGGGCCCCGGGTGTCAGACGCTTGCGCGCGCGTCGTGTGAGCGTGAGCTGGGGGCTACGGCGTGCCGCCCCAGAGCACCGAGGTGAGCACGCCGGCCTCCTCGGCGGGCGACACGGCCGCCTCCCGCACCCGCCGGAGGATCTCCAGCTTCGCCGCGCGCTTCTCCCGCGGCCGCAGCCCCTGCCCCGCCTCCACCTGCACCGCAAACCGCGCCACCGCGCTCGCCACCATCGTCTTCTCTTCCTCCTCATCCGCTGTGTCCGTTGTGTCGGCGTCCGCGGCGGTGCGCTGGAGGCAGAGGAGGCGCTTGACGAGGCCCTCGGCGAGGAGCGCGTCCAGCACCTCGCGCCGGCCGTAGTAGGCCACGCGGAGGCAGAGCTCCAGCGCGGGCGCGCGCAGAGCTCCGGCGGGGGCGCAGAGCAGGGCCACCAGCCGCGGGAGCTCCCCGCGCGCGTGCAGCTCGTCCACCAGCGGCGTCCGGACCGCCGCCACCAGCCCGTTGAGCGCGCGCAGGGCCGCCGGCGAGGAGTGGGACGCCGCGGCGGCCACCAGCGCGCCCACGGCCGGGCCCATCAGCACCGGCCCCACGAACACGTCCCGGTTGAACCGCACCAGCGCCAGCGCCGCCGCCGCGCACCCGTCGCCCACCTCGCCGGGGTCCCCGAGCCGGGCCTCCACCGCGCGGAACACGCCGTGCCGCAGCACCGCGTCCTGCAGCCGCGCGTCGAACCGCCCCGCTGACCCCGCCCCCAGCAGCCGCGCCTCCAGCTCCGCCAGCAGCGCGCGCGCCCGGGCGTCGTCCTGCTCCCTCAGCGCGGCCACGAGGCGCGCGGCCAGCTCGCGGTCCGCCCACGCCTGGATCTCCGCCGCGACGCCCCCGGCCGCGCGCGCGATCCCCCGCCTCGCCTTGCACCGCCGGCACCGGGCCCGCAGTCCCCCGACCACCCCGCCTCCGGCCGCCTCCTCGGAAGCGCGCCAGGAGAGGGCCCTGATGGTGGCGAGCAGGCGGCAGAGCGGGTGCAGCTCGGGGTCACCGGCGAGCAGGTCGTGGGCGGCGGCCTGGAGCGCGAGCAGCGCCCGCAGCGCCGGGCCGTCGCCCTCGCCGGCCTCGACAGTCCTTGCGGCGTCGCGCAGCGCCCGCAGCACGTCGAGGAAGCCGTCGTCCCGCTCCCCCTCCTCCATCGGGGAGGAGTGGAGGAGAGGCGCGCAGCGGGCGGCCGAGCCTTCGTTTTATCCCGCCCTCCTACCCGCCCGGTAAAATCCCGAGAGCACACGGCGGCAGTCGTCGACTGACCGGTAGATAGATGGATGGATAGATGAGATGATGGTGTTTTTACTTTTCTCCGGGGGAGGCGGGGCCGATCCAACCGCTCGTCCGGCCCAGTCGCCGGTGGCCGTGGCGCGCGTGATGCGTACGTACGTACGTGCTGCGTAGGAGCGGCTCGGAAGCTCGGAATCTTGTTGGCTTGAGTGGAGAAGACGACGAGGGGCATGCGGATCCGTCCGGCCCGGCCCGTGCAAGAATCCACGCCACGGCGATCAAACCAGATGATGCCCTAGTTACTTACCCCAGTGCTGCATCTGAATCGATTCTCAAGTGCTGTCGGATCGGATCGCAATGCGTGATACCAGATGAACGATTGAACGAACGATCTAGCCGTGCGTGGCTGGGCTCTGGATGTGCCTGTACGCGACCGAGTCTGTTCGGTTTTTGACGTTGTCGCGGCAACTGCTGCTGGAGAGGGACTTCTTGGCCACGATTTTTAATTACTACTTTTCTTCTCTCTTCTCGCTAACGAACAGCATGGGAGCTTGTTTAGTCCACGAGTCCGGTCCTGTGATCTGGTCTCGTGCGTCTTGTGCTCGTATACGTGTCGGTGTCGCTGTCAAGGGTACGTTGGCGCCATACATCGTGAGAACTGTATATACTCCTTTTAATCGGATTCTCGCCACGAGTATGAACGATGTGATGCCGCGCTGCCTGCCTTGCATGATCTTCAACCGCCGACAGTGCGCACAAAACACACATCGGCATGGCTGACTTACCCTTTCATTTTCCTTTTAAAAACGCCATCTTCATATACACCTAATTAAATT